AATTATCTCTCACTGTTGTCGATATTATTGATATAACGATGACATTCACGTCCAAAAGTTCCGTTACTCATGAATATAAATATTAAATTCACACCAAATAAATGATTTATTTGTTTTGACTTGTTTGTTGTTAGATCAAATATGAGTAATCGTAGCTGAAGATCATGTGTATGAAATACTTTAACTAAGAAAATCAAGTCAAACCGATGAATAATCATGAATCAAACGATATTTTGTTGAAACTCAACTACCATTCAACTATATACGAACTATTTGGCAAGTCAGCTGCATCTTCTATGTGTTGTGTATGAAACAAATACAAGCAAACTTTATACTACGGTTCTAATGCATACAGAGCTTTACTAGACTATTAAATACACATATCTTTCTCATGTAAATGGAGTGAATTTCAAAACCTCAATGATGCAATCCACTATATGGGGTCCTATATCCAAGATCTCTACCTCTGGAAAGCCAAATCTAATGATTAGAACCAACATCCATTTCCAGGATATGAAAACAAGCGCGCTCCACACTAACCAAACGAACCCATAATATATCCTAATACCTACTTTGAATTAAACCTTAGGTTCGTAATGCCACTCAGTTTGGAGATAAACGAATAATTTTAAACCACCTGTAGTGAAATGCTTTAGTGGTGACAGTTAATCACGTCTCATTCACTAAAATTGGTGAGCTGACGTTTTATTCAAAGAATTCAAGTTAAAATGAGTCTATTATTTATCAATCCTCGTTTGTATCAAGTTAAAATACCATTATTAATGTATTTCAATATGTATTATACCAGCAACAACGTTTCGAATTGGTGGATAGTTACAATATAATAGACTCCGAGGTGGAGGTAATTGCATTTTCACCTGTCTCCTCCCCGTCACTTCAGGTTGCTAGTTTGTTTTACGTGCACGATTTTCGCACTAACACCAGGTACCTACTGGCCACAGGTGCCTAAGTTTCTGTCATATCGTTTTGTAACACCAAGTCTCAAGCTACGATGCTTCGAAAACGCGCTGTGGATGGCCTAAGTCATTTCTACCTACGTACCCGACAGCTAACGATCAACCTGAATAATCGACTGCATTATCTACGGACGTTCATCCTTGCCCATGTTCCCATAGTTCTATGAATTGCTATTCCATTCACATGGGCTGCAGTTGATCGATACTTCGTTGAATATCAAATCCAAAAGTTCTAACTCTCCGGCAGATGTGTACCGAATCACTAATGTATTTTTTGCACAGTTATTTATTTCGTTTTATGTTTGATAAATTCCACAAACTAACTAAGCCGAGAAGATTCAACCGGTGACTAATTATGTGGTAGGCCACATCGTAACCTCCAGCCCCCCAGTCAAGGCAATATCTCGCCGACTGGCACTGGAAAAATTATTATTTTGTCTTTCTCACAGTCCTTGAGCCTTCTATCTTCATTCGGTTTGCAAAATGAAGGCATTAGTTGGAGACGACATGGCCATTACAGAGCAGCAACTGCATATGTTGATTGTTCCGCCTCTGAACTTGTACACGGCTCAACATTACATCTAACCGGGGGAGTTTTCCACACAACGTAACAGCGATTTTATGTAAATCAGATAACGTCCAACGACTATCTGCGTAGATGAGAACACTACTTTCGGTGTGAACTTGAATATAGCATCGAGAAGTCTCTCTCCCTCGAGAGTTATTTACCTATCTATATGTTGTCATACGAGTAGATTCGGTACGCAAACCTTTGCAACGGCCTTACGTAGGATAGTTTCGCGTGATCTCTCGTCACGAAAAGACATCTAGGGTTTATGGACACAGTCTGCATTGATCGTCACGAACAAGCTTACGTCAGTGACAGTGCCCTACCCGAAAAACTGAGAGTCTATGCTAAACCCTTCCAACTCACTAGCGGGATCTCAACGTCTCCTTCGAACCCATGATAGATATATCAGAGACCTCATTCTCTCGTCTCAGTCAACTGCAATATCCATGGATGAGAATCCGGTCTCACGTCCATGTCAGCAGACCACGCCGCCCTTGATTTCTGATGGGATTGCAGGCTCACGAGATACGCACGAGACTACCGTCTCGCGTTCCGGTCACCGCATAAGCCTACCTATACGCTTTCGTGACCAGTTCCCCAATCAACAACGGATATCGTATGAGACATTATCCTCATACTACATTCATGCCACACCTTTCTCTTTTTCCCTGATTTTTTATCCTGAACCCATATCTACGTCCTGTTGGTACCGTCGACTTCAGTCAATCTTGGCGAAAGCTGGCCTGATCACCCACTCTCGTGTCAGTGTGGTCAGTCGATGTTCTAGTTCCGAATATATCTGGCATACGTATGGTCTCGAACCTGGTCGTTATGTTCGTTTCTGGTTCCTTCGCTCAATCTTGTTCTGTCCTACGTCTGCAGCTTTTTCTGGTACGAACCCTTACGGACGCTGTCTTTAGTCTGGATACGAGCCACGCTGGTGTTGCAAGCCAACTCAAGCAGCAAACCTAGCACGTTACTACTAGTACAGTTTAATGTAGGAGACTTTCGGTGATAACGGGTTCGTAATGAGTATTTGATGGTGATCACGGTTAATCACGACTCTCTACTAAATACCTTTGCCAATCATAAACCAAGTCTTCCTCTCAGCTGAAGCTTATTATGTACCTGATCACACGAAGTGTAAAGCCTCATTGTATCAGGTTCTAGCAATCTTGTAGACAGTCGTGTGGTAAATAAATTTTGAAATCAAGATTACAACAAGCAATCATACCTCCCTATCCAAACTAGCTGAAAGCATTAATAATAATCTGTATGATCTCATAGGAAAAAACGTTTATCACACTAGATGTAGCATACTAGATTCCGTTAATTAGAAATCTATGTATAAATTACTTATGAGCCGTATTAATTTGAATCATGACTTTACTATGTCACTGGTTAAGGAGGTATGAGGTAATTGCTCCTATTCATTTCCATTTCTTTTCGTTGGCAGTTACTTAAACAAATTCCACACTGACGGAAACAGTTTTGCATGTCACCAAAGGAATCCTGAAACATCTAAAATTCATAAGCAGTGCTTCAATGGGAAATAACTCACTATCTTTAAGAAATCATAAGGTCACCATCCCGAAATAAGCAATTTTTGAAATTAAAACTGCTTTTTCCCGGAGGAAGATAGAGTTATAACTGCTTACAAAAGGAGTAACAAGCTGGAAGCGTCTCATTTCCTTGCTATACGCAGCTCTTACGATCTTAGAGACCCTGAATCTGACTTCAATATGGACGAACAATTGAATATGTTTTGAAGTAGATGTTTCATCTGATTTGCATACAGGTTTCTTGGGTGAACCCCATTTGTGCAGCGGTCGTAATAAGAGGCTAGATACGGACTCAGTTGAATAAGTTTATTCATACAACTGTTAACACAGACACATATGTGGATAAAGAGCGGGATAGTGGAGCGAAGTGAAGCGGAGGTGAGTGGGACAATTCAGTGTGACAAAGCATGAATAAGTATTTTTTGTCAGGCAAAAATAAGCTAGATATATGATTAGCTTAGTAAGCAGTGCGTACACATATTTAAATAAAAACGACCAATTTATAAGTGAATAATGAATAAGACCGAAAGACATGCGAATAATTCAAGAATAATTGATTATCTACTTTCTCCAAATGTTGGGACAAGCCCTGTAGGCTTGACATATTAGTATACACCTAATGAGCAATGAAAAATTTACAAGTTATTCAGTTCGGTCCTAGCCACTCAAGATCTCGATATGAATTGCTTTGGGTAGTAGTTTAATGATGAATAGCTGGGAACTGCGACTGTCTAGCATCTTCAGTACGACATCACCATTCTGCATAGATAGGGTATCTAAATTTCTTCAGGCCTCTCACCTCAACTTATTGCCGGTTCGGTTGTAACTGAACGTGATGGGTACTGAGTGGTTCTGTGTACAGGACTACCTCATCGAAAAATCAGTCATCTAAATTTGATGTCTAGAATTTGCAGTGTTAGGGCATGAGATTATTATCAGCGGATGTTGTTCATGTGCTTGAACAAAATAGACCATTGCTAGATAGAAAACATGCTCGTATCTAGCACCGGTTAATGTATACTAATTGCAAAAATATTAGTGCATAGACCTCTCACCTTTTGGAAATTATAATATCAGATGGTCATGTGAAAGAAAAAGGCTAGTGTTTCTAATGGAGTTGCGCGCCCATTCCTACTGATATATTGCTATAATCCAAACATATGTAATCGCACGGTTTAGCAGTCGAGAATAAAATAGTTTGATCTCCGAACTTCTGAAAAACGTTCTCCATAATAAAAATCTGTTAATCACGGAAGCGAGAAGGGACTATGATAATGATTTATCACATAAGTTCTAACCTTTGTCCTAACAAATCGTGATTACTCTTCAGAAATAAGCTACATCTAGGCGTCCACCTTGTGGTGGAACATGGAACAGAATATACACTAAACGCACGAAAAATTTTCGTGGATAACTGTGAAGCACCCTATCTTCACAAATCGAGAACAGACTGTCCATCGAATCATTTAAAAGTCGGTCTCATTGATAGGGCTGAAGGAGCCTATTCTAACATTTATTTCTCAAGTGCTTTTCGACTGACAACCGATGTGTTGGCCTTTCATGTTCTTTTGGACTAGAATTATCTCTCATTGTGACTAAGATCCATCTCCTATCACCCTAACGTCGATCAAAACGAGCAGGTACATTTTAGTAATTAAGGACTTTCGATATTTTTATGGAGTTTATTAATGAAAAATAATCATACTAGTCACCATTTCAGTGGAAAGAGCTAGAAACAAAGACTTCAGATTAGTATCCTGAAATATTCTACATCGATCATTGTTAGAATTCGCTTCGTCAATTTCCATTCGCAGACATTTTAAGTGAATGTTTTTAAAATTAGTTTCGTAATCCTGGTTGGCAAATTGGTCTTCACATGTTCTTTCCATAATGAGTACTGTCACTCTGAGATGGATTGGTGATTTGGATCAAGACAAACGGGAACAAGCTGGGTGCGTCAGTTCTTCAAGTGACCAATATCGTCCTAAAAAAATAGAACTGAAACCTGGTCAGAAAGAAATCCGCATTGGACGTATAAACACTAAAATTCCCCCTGACTATCCGATCGAAAGCTGCATTAACAGCCGGATGATATCAAGAAATCACGCAACTATAGAACGCTCAGCGAAGGGAGGCTCAATTCTTTATGATCATAGTATGAATGGCACGTATGTCAACTACACAAGAGTGATGGGTGGAGTAACGCTAAAACATGGGGATATTGTGTGTTTCGGCCACTTGAATGGAGCAAATCTCAAACCTGGGGAACCAGTGGCCCTCTTTTATTCCGACTTGAAGTATCGGGTAAGTTAATCATAACCCTTCGTTTCCCGAACTAAAGCAGTGGTTGTGCTCGTGCCTATCTACAATCTACTCTACCTAACCGAAAACTATTATTATATAGTTGGTTTAATCACTTATTCATCTCAGATCTTGCCTCATGAAAAAGTTTCAATCTTGGAAGGTGTATTAAGGGATTCATATAGATAGTTATTCAATTTTTCTGGCATCGGGTACGTGCATGTATAAGGATCCTGCTACCATAAAGTATCAAATACTGTAAATTCGGTAATACTACATCATGATAAAACAAATCTAGCCGTCTTCATGTCTGGATATACAGCTTTGGATTTCATTTGCTTTCAAAACCGTCTTCGGATAAGAATTAAGTAATTTTGCATCTTGTGTAGGTCCATCGTTTTGTTTGTTCGTGTTCATACTCTGAGCTCAAATGAATGATCGCTCCAGTGGGTTCAGTACCCAAAGTACTTCAGTGAACAGACAGTGAACTCAGTTTTTGTGCTCCTCTTCCTCTACAAAAGCGTTTTCAGTTTGCACAAATATTCAGTGGACCAACGTTAGTTTTTTAGGCGTCCTCGTTTTGTAGCTGATTTCTGTCTGTGTTGGGGACCCTAATCTCTTACTCTGAACCTCATAAGCAGTTGTGGTTTGAAGCAGTCACTCCTAGAAAACCACCAAAGGTCATTCTTGAATTATTTCATCATTCAAATGTTTTTCTAGGTCCAAAAATTTGTCAAAGTACCCTCTGAAAATGCAAATACAACGTATACGCTCATCATTTGTTTGCTCCTATGATTATCTTTGTCATTCTTGTTATGGATTATTCTGTTAGATGATTGCTTGAATTTTGAAAAAAACCAATGTGTTTACTATTTGATTGGAAAAGGACCCCATATTTGTAGACTAGTCTAATCTCAGGATGAAACCTGTATGGTCTCGAACAAGTACATAATTACTATATTGCTGCAATTTTTTAACCATACAGCTAATGCAAGTGTAGCTTCACTTAATGTGCAATAATGTTCAAGTGTTTTTGGAGTTTCACGTATGTTGAGGAAACGGGAATGCGGGCATTCGGTTTCGTCATTTCTCGATGTCATCTAAAGCTTAATCTAATCCAAGCGTCCTGTGGTTTTCACTTGGGAATAGTTATTTGTAGATTGTTCTGGTATCGTTTGAAGTAACGCTCTCCACACCTGACGTTTCCTCACCTTGCTTTCACTGCATTGTTGTACCTCTGTTCCTTAGCTTCAGTAACGTGTAGGTGAACTAGATAAGTTTTAAAATATTTTGAGAAATTCAGTCTGACTTTATGGTTAGCACCCCGATTGGTACTTTACAGTCGTAGTAAACTGTAGATTCCCTACTTGCAGACTGCATTTTAGTCATGAAGTTCCATTTTGGTCGTTCCGTACACAGTGATGTTAGCTGGTGGTAAACACCACTCAGTCGGAACTTAGATGGTAATGCTAGAAAACGTGTGACCTGGTGTCTGACATCTCAGCGCGCATACACAAGGCTCTATTGATTTTGATAGCTTTCGTCACTTATGGCGTCAGCAAGATATCCCTCTGCTAAACAAAAGATGAGTCAACTGCTGCGCAGTTCACTCCGTTCTACTACACGGATGTGAATCATGGCAAGAATAGAGGACACTCGGAGATTACTAGTGTTCGATCATGTCTGAGAACCAGTACTAGTATATCGTGGGACCACCGAGTAAGCAATGCAGTTGTTAGGAAACGGGTACTAGGTAAGGATGGTAGATCAATAATAGATGAAGTAGTGAATCTTCATCAGTTGAGGTGGTTGGGATGTGTGTTGTGTATGCCCAACCACCGACTGCCTCCACGAGCGACGTTGTCTAATATAGATGTTGTCTGGAAGAAAGCTAGGAGCGGCCAAACCAAAAGGTGGTACAAATGCACGAAGTCACGGACAACTGGTCTGAGCCATGTTAGTAGGTGTATACTATTTGTTTGGGGTCGACGAGACAATATTAACTGATGGTTAGAGACTTTGAATGAAATGGCTCAAAACCGTTTGCAATGGCGCAGGTGCATCCATTCTTTGTGTTCCCTCGAATTCTAACCTAACTTCCTCATGACTGCTATTTCTCTTTTTAACTGACTCCATTGGGGTATGCATCTCGAATGATATATTCGATCATTAATCTTTTTGATTACTGCTAATCCTTTTACTATCTCTACTACTATTGAATTTGAATTGACAATTCCGTTTCTGTGCTAACGTGGTGTGGTAGCAGGAACTGATGTGGGTACGTACTAAGTTGTAACTGACTGACTGAGAAACAAAACGGTTGACTGACATATCATCAACTTAAAGCCTGGTACACATTTTCGTCGACCCAACTTATCATAATATCATGGCGAAATAAAATAATATAATTCTCAAAATAGATCTGCGACCATTAATTCCAACTAGGTTTCATATTTTAATATTAATCGGTGGCAGATATTACTTGTTTCGATAGTGTGAATCATTTAACAGGTTCAATTTGTATGTACTTTTAAGGCACTTTGTAAGGGAGCTAATGTTCGTAGATGTAAACAAACAAAACCGAGTCCGAATCCTCAACCAATCATTGAGCTTCTGCTATGTAATTCTTGTCACAGTTTGACGTAGGTAAAGAGAAATTTCAGTGTCCCGTCTCAGTTATCGATTTCCATATCTTTTCTGATCTGGAGTTGAACTGTTGGGTTTCTGATTCCCTGACTAGTATTAAACTTTGCTTTATACAACTATTATTTCCTGAATCAATGAGAAAATCTAGTCAGATTTTCCAAATATATTAATAAAATCATTTTATGCCGTAAATATTAAATACAGTTCTCTTATCCTTATCTCATAACATACTGTTTTCTGTAGTGTACTTCCGCATATCAGTTTCCTAACTATTCTTTCTTTATCAGGTGGAGCTAAGCGATTCTCCAAGTAAGGAAAATGTTGTAACTGGAACAACCAAAAAGCGCAAGTCTTATCCTGCTCAGCCAGGTTCAACAGTGTCCTCTACTCAACGTTCTGATGGTGAAGACGATTCTATTGGATCCAGTGATGATGAGTCCACTGATGCCAAACGGCCTAGAAGTAATACTACTTCAAGTGCACCACGCACAGCTAACCGACAAAAATTCAAGAAGCCTGTTAGCTCAAATCGTCACAAAGTAGATGAAGAGGATGATGGAGACAGCAATGAAGATCCAGATGAAAATTCGAGCAACAAACGATTAAGTTCTGCAGGCTCCAAGACTATCAAGAAACGTTCAAATGGTACGGATAAAGTTAAAAAATCCCATTCTAATTCTGTTTCACGTAAGTCTAGTGGCGCAAAACCTGGTCATATTCATAATAAAGAAAAACGCCGTTCCGGAAAATCTAGCAAGTCTGGAGGTTTTGATGCAGAAGACGATGCCGGTGGTGGTGATATGTTTCATTATGACAGTGAAGAGTGTTCTGCTAGACCATGCAAGCAGCCTCAAGATATAGCAATAGATTGGATTCAGTGTGATCGTTGTACTCTATGGTATCATCAAGTGTGTGTGGGATTGAAGCCTAGTGAAGCAAATGTAGAAACTTATTACTGCCCTTACTGTAAAAAATGACTGTCCTAATGGGTATCAGATAGGTTACCTACTTCTGCTCACCTTTAACCATGTACATAATAAACAAGTCAAATAAATTTTACTCCCAGATGTCAAAACTGAGAACGATCCTGACAGTATAACCAGTTTTTTGGTATTCCCGTGTACGCATTTGGATCGATCTCATTCATTTATCTTCCCGTCAGATATTGTGTTACATTCTTTCGATGCACTTTTCTATGGTCTAACCCTAATGTAACTTTCCAAACAGCTGTTCTGGTTCATAATTCGTGATTTATGTGAATAAAATTACTTGGGGATCTGTTACCTTTTTGTATACTAACTTATAAAGATATGTACATACGTTAATTAAGAAATATTGTCTCTAGTCTACTTCATTCTAATTTTTGTCTGGCATAGGTTTATTGTCCATGTCATCTGTATTTAAGTAGTTGTGTAACTGCTGTTAAACATGAAGCATTTCTTGCTCTAAGATATCATGCTACTAAAAATTGTTTTCCTCATCAATTTTTATAGTGACATTTATTAACTTTCATACTTTTAAACTGCCTGTTCATTGCTCGTAATAAAATAATATGGTATTCAATAGCTCTTTTGCATTTTATCTGAATATACATGTATAACACTGTTTGTCTAGTGGTGATCTCAATCAATGTTGCTTGTTACGTATTTATATTTGCACATTAAAAAGTATTTATGAGTTTAAAATGCCACTATAATGTCATACGCAAAAAATAAAAATTTCCATGTCAGAATAGTTTCGACGCGTTAATTATCGCATCTAATTATTGCCACTTGATCTCCCTAGCATATCCATCTCACTTTTCTCCATCAGACACTGTACTATTTCCTATATCATTCTTGATCTACTTCACCCTTTTGGACAGTTTGGTGTGATACAAATAGGCCACTAAGCAGAACACCAGTTTTTAAATTCAGTGCTAAAATAATATAAGGTTTTAGTGAGAATATTTAGTCCGAATTCGAAGTCGGTACTAATTCAAACTTTGAACTTGTAACTACATGCAAGTGATAATGTTCTTGAGTATTTTTGTTTGTATATCCATGGAAGTAAAGTGAGTTGTCTTACGCTGTTCAGACCTTCATAGCGTAACCTGCTCATACTTCACATTGCCAATCTGTTTAGAGATTCAAGGACCAATCATCGTCCAGGATTGTTGGTGCATTAGTGGCTAGATTTCTACTGGATAGTGGAGTGTTAGAGAATTATTCAAGTAAACACTGCTTTTAGGTGTTTTGTAGTTTTACACCAAATGGGTTACCAGAAAGCAGTCACTGAATAACTGTTTGGGGTATGTAAGTCACCGCGTGGGTTTCGAGTTGGCTTAAGTTTATAGGCAGCACAATGATACTTCTATGTTACATATATTTGGTTTTTTCCAATCTGCGTGAACGTGATGACCGTAATGCTGATAAGTCCGCCTCGTTTTACTCTATAGCTTCAAAGAAGAGAAACATTAATAGATTGAAAATATAGTATCGAGTCTTCACAGCATTGCTCGTACATGTTTGGATCACCGATTAGTGAATGTGGAGTTTAGTTCTAGTGTCCCAAACAAAGATTGCATATTGGTTGATAAGATTGAGATTTCATAGATTTAGGTGGTGTGGGGGTATATTACGTATGCACTGTCGCCGTGTATCTCAGTTGGCAATGTCTAGTGCAGGAGTAGGTTGATAGGCATGAGCTTTCACCTAAAAATGACGTGAGATATATTGCTATGTGAAGACTACCTGGTTGGTTTATGTGGATAATCATTAGAAAGACCTGCGTAACATGGTTCGCATTCGGTCACAATGGCGCAGGTACATTCAATATTCACCTCTCCCCAGATCTGTGTATAACTTGTTTTTAGCCATGTACTTACCACTTACTACTTTCGAAAAAGAATCTCGACGACCTAGTAAAAAATCAACTGCTGGAGTTTATTCACTTCTAGAGAGAAGTATAGTCACCTTCACTGGAATAAGACAGTCGTTGAGCCATATTGAACGTCAACGGAATTCGAAGAGAAGAATCACTGAATCTGTGGTCTCGTTGTAATTAAGCAGATCGGTAACTTGAAAATGAAAATCGTTCACTAACCAAATAGGTTGGTCTAAGTCCTACAAAACAAGTGGATTCTAGTAATGCACTTTTGTGGTTTTCATATAGCTTTTATTGTCTACAATTTCATTCCATCTTTCTTTATGTATTTATGAAGTTTCTCACAAACTCATTTGATTATGACTAATTTTGTTTCGTGTGCTGTTATGGACATGGGGGGGGATGTCACTTCCAGGTTGCTCACACCATGGAAGGGTGTTTCTTGAGTAGCCTAACAAGGAAATCGGACTAGCGCTGGTCCTAGGGATTTGGGAGCGTAACCACAGAGCCCCGGGGACAACTGCTTGTGGCCGGTCACTCACAGTCTTTTTATTTGAAGCTTTTAAGGTGTTACCTTCGCTCTTCAAATGGCCTTACCTCCCGAGACGGAAGTATGTGAGGTAAGGTGAAGTGTGACATTTTAGGGTCGACCTTTACTCAGCCGTTTCTTATGACAAGGTAGCGTCGCTGCGTATGCTGGTTTTCCGAGGGAAACACTTCACCCCTTTTTACAGTCATCAGTATGTCTTCTCCCTCAGACCTTGAGTCGCTGCTTTCGGTTTTACAGCTCTCCAATCGACCTGCTTAGCATGGTAGGACCTAAAGGAACATATGTTGCAGCCAATATAGCTCAAGTGGGTCATCGCGATAGGCAAGCCCGACCACCACGTCAGAGTAGCAGCTGCAGTCGTGTTAAAAGGACAAAAGTCCTCATGTGAGTCACTGAGGAATCAGCTTGACTTACGTTGTATGTAAAGTATTAGCTTCAGTAATTCTTCGATGCCAAACTAGTGCTCTTGAAGAGTAGACTCGAGAAAATCAGGCTGGTTTCAGACCTGGACGTGGATGTATAGAGCACATATGAACATTTCGTCAGCTCCTGGGACACAGACACGCATTCAGACGTCAAACAGTAGTTGTGTTTCTTGAATTTAAGGCGGCGTTTGACTCTGTCGATCATGAGATTCTGTGGCGATGTCTTTCATTGGAAGGAGTCCCGAAGAAGTATATTAACCTTTTACAGCCTCTCTACTCAAACACTACTGTTTGAGCGAGAGCTTACGTCGGACTATCATTGGAATTGATTACCTCACGTGGGATCCGTCAGGGTTGTCCACTTTCTCCATTCTTATTCAACTTTGTTATCGACATGCTTTTAAAGATGACATTTTCATCGTCTGGCTTTTCGGAAGTTTACCTATCAGGAGATTCGTTTGTTGACTTAGAATATACTGATAACCTAGTTCTACTTAATGAAGATACTGACGAAATGCAGTCTTCTGACCACCTTAAGCAACAATGCCAGCATTTTCGGGATGCGATTCTCCCCGTTGTTTCTTCGGGATTGGTTTGCGTCGGCACCTGAACCAGTAATAGAGAGTGAAGTAGTTGAATGTGTTGATCGCTTCACTTATCTTGGGGGTCTCATCAATGCTGATTGTATGGTGTGTGACAAGATCTTAGCGCGGATACACAAGGCTCTATTGACTTTTGCTAGCTTTCGTCACTTATGGCGTCAGCAAGATATCCCTCTGCTAAACAAAAGATGAGTCAACTGCTGCGCAGTTCACTCCGTTATACTACACGGATGTGAATGATGGCAAGAATAGAGGACACTCGGAGATTACTAGTATTCGATCATGTCTGAGAACCAGTACTAGTATATCCTGTGACCACCGAGTAAGCAATGCAGTTGTTAGGGAACGGGTACCAGGTAAGTCAGTCAGTCAGTCAGATGCAACGTAGAACTTTGTACATAAGTACATCAGTTCATGTTGCCATACCACATCAGCACAGAGAAGTAATCGTCAATTCAAATCCAATAGTAGAAGAGGTAGTAAGGGAGTTAGAAATAATCGGAGAGGTTAGGATTAGAAGATACTATTCAAGAAGTATGGTTCAGTGAGAAAAGTTTAGAGAGTCGAAACTAGAGGGGTCGAAGAATCCAGAAGATTAGCATTTGAGAGAACATAGAGAATAAATGCACCGGCGCCATTGCGAACGATTCTGAGCCATGTCATTCAAGGTCTCTAACCATCGATTATTATCATCTCGCGGACCCCAACCAGGTAGTCGACAATTACCGACATGGCTCAGTCCACTAGTCAATGACTTCATGGATTTCTGCCATGTTTTGGTTTGGCCGCCCCTAGCTTTCTTCCAACCTATTCCCACACTACAAAACAAGGCTCGACGAGGCAGCCGGTGGTTGGGCATACGCAACACATGTCCCAACCACCTCAACTGGTGAAGTTTCAATACTTCATCGATTGATCTGCCATTCTTACCTAGCACCCGATTCCTAATAACAGCGTTGCTCACTCGGGTGTCCCAGGTAAGGATGGTAGATCAATAATAGATGAAGTAGTGAATCTTCATCAGTTGAGGTGGTTGGGATGTGTGTTGTGTATGCCCAACCACCGACTGCCTCCACGAGCGACGTTGTCTAATATAGATGTTGGCTGGAAGAAAGCTATGAGCGGCCAAACCAAAAGGTGTTACAAATGCACGAAGTCACGGACAACTGGTCTGAGCCATGTTAGTAGGTGTATACTGATAGTTAGAGACTTTGAATGAAGTGGCTCAAAATCTAATTTTCTGAACTCCTCATGACCGTTTTTCCTTCTTAAATCGATCCCACTGTATTATACTTCTGGAATGATATCTTCTACTCCTTATCTTTTCGATTACTGCTAATACTTCTACTACTATGGGATTCGATCTCTGTGCTAATGTGTCATGGCAACTTGAACTGATGTACGTATGATCAAGATTGTTGCTGACTGACTCATTAATCCATTATAACGTTATTTTATGCTAGGTGTTACTCATTTGGAGGAAATATAAACTCAGAATATTCTACGTGTTTTGATCATTTCCTTAGGTGACTCTTCTGGAAAGACTAGTAGCTTAAAGATAAATGAATTTGTTTTTCATATTTTATTTTTAAATTCAGAACTTGTTTGTCTTTGTACTCTGATATCTTATGGTTGACTTCTTCTTCAGCTATCAAGAAGAAGTAAATTATGTATCTCAGCAATTCAGTTACATTGACTAGTTAAAGCAATTGTATCCAAACGAAATTCGTAGTTAATTAATGCCAACCACTTTTAATTTGATTTATCGTCCAGCTTAGTAAATCTTACATAATATTAGTAATTTCGATTAACTTTTTGGATCGGTAGTTGAAGCTGTAGCGTCTCTACTGTTGGTGCTTAAATGAATTTTTATACTGTGTTCCCTTCGCTTTCTTAAATCGAGCCATGTCAGTCCTTACTTAATCATTTATACAGAAGGAAGTAACTAGTTTTTTTTGTCCACAGTGATAACATTTTGATAGTGTTCAAAGTTTTTCAAGGTTCAACAGGTTCCATGTATTTGTCAGTGTAGTGTTCTTAATCATTCTAATCTTCTTTTATTGTTCTATTTAGATCAATATACTCTCTGGACATATGACTTCAAATGATGTAGACTGAATTATTTTAAACGAATTATAAGTTTTAAGACGAGTCAGTTGATTTTATCCAAACATTAAATCCAATTGGTAATTTTCCTTAGAGAGAAAAAGTAGTAAATAGTTTTTAACTGAGTCATTTATAAAAGATATGACAGGTTATATGCACTTTAATTAAATTAAATTAATCAAATTCATGGAACATTTGAGTAGCATTTATTTCTATTTTCCTATATATTACTACTGAGTGTTATGATTTGTATATTTGTATTTTTGTATAACTTTCTAATCCATCATAGATTAAGAAAGTTGTTCACCAAACATTTTTTTTAATATTTGCTTTAGGATGTTATAGAGTCTTATTTGGAGTTGAAATTACACTCTCTTCGATTATCCGATCAAAAATTAATAAATGCACAACATACCGTGAAGAATCTGGCATCAACAACATCTTTGCAATCACCTGATGATTATGTGGATTTGTGTAAGTTTGTTAAACTTTGATTAGCTTTTTTTAATGTTCATTTGGAAGATTGTTAAAGTAAGATAATGTAGAAAAATGATCGTCATTGTATTGTCGATCGATATTGACCGAAATTAAAGTGAAAAATACATCATTTGAATAATCAATGGAGAATTAGAGAGCATTTGTTAAACAGCTGCTTTGTATGAATTCATGATTCACATGATTAGTATTGAAATCAATCGGCACAAGTTGTACAACAACCGTTGTAAACCAAAAAGCATTAAATAGACTTTTCGTTCTTTTGTGGAATGCCTTCACAGTCTCCATCATAGATCGAGCCCAGAACTTAAAGGAATAATTATTGCAGCCAGTATAGTCCTAATGTGTCATCATGATAGGTAATTCTCAGGTATGACTCTAAAATCTTACGCCATTGATATATTCTGTATGAAGAACAGCTCACCAGCAACTATTTATTGAAATCGCGTCTAGGAGGGTATTCTAGTTTTAAACGTATGCCATTGAGACCACGAGAAGTAACAATCGAATCTTCAGATATACGGAGGGTAAATGGCTCCGGCTCTTAATATTGGCTAGGTAATGTCAAAAGTGAATGACTACACTTATGTCCTGTATACAAAATATAAGCTATTCAAGGCGATTTATAGATAATTGATAACAATTAATTAGATGAAATAACCAGTTACCTTTTTTTACGAATTGTTTTTCACCAGCTATCTCCGGAATCATTATGGAGGTGCTCTGTCCTAGTTTGCTATCCAACATTATCCATCCACTGAAAATTGAGACGATTTTATTATTTTCTAGTTGGTAGATAATGTTTTTAGGTCTAATCTGTTTGATGTGGTTGTAGGTGAACACTACTTCTAGAGAATTTTGCTTTAGAGATAATCAGCTATTTAGTGCTCTTTTACCAACTGCAATGGAAATCAGCTTTGTCTTACTATACGGATGCGAAACATGGCCGTCATGACCCAACCGAGCTATACTGGCTGGAACATATGTTCCTCAAGGTTCTACCATGCCAGGCAGGTCGATTGGAGAACGATGAGACTAAAAGCAGCTACTCAAGGTCTGAGGGCGAAGTCGTACTGCTGACTGCAGAGGGGTGTGACAGCAGTAAGGTGTTTCCCTCGGACAACTAGCATCTTCAGCGACGCTGCCTTCTCACAAGGAAGGAAGGGTTAGAAAAGGTCGACGCTAAAAATGTCACACCTCACCCTACCTCACGGATTTCCGTCTCCGGCGGTAAGGGTGCCCACTAAGGGCTTTTAAGAGCGGAGCTAATACTAAAAATACCTTTCATCAAAAGGCCGTGCGTGACCGGCCTCAAGCAGTTGTCCCCTGGGCTCTGCGGTCACGCTTCCAGGTCTGTAAGACCAACACTAATCTATCTTCCTTTTCGGGTCCTTCAAGAAACACCATTCCATGGTGTGGGCAGCCAGGAAGTGACAACCGCCCTCATACCCATAACAGCACACGAGACCAAATTAGTTAAAATCAAGTCCTTCTTAGACCCCATAATATCTTTCTTATCTCTACGACTAACTATAGTAGCATTCCTTCAGCCCACTGCACCGCTAATGCAAATGATGCGAGTTCACGAGACGTCGTTCCGGGTTTTCTTAAACCCCGTCATAAACTACATGTTGGAGCATTGATGTACGGACATTGTGTCAACAGGCATCATTAGCTAGGACTTTAGAATCTCGCTCAATCGATGTGTGTTGCGTCTCGGAAACGCGCATACAGGATTCTAGCAAAATCAATAATCTGATTCCACCCTGTCAAAATAAAGAAGCGTCCCGATTTACTCTTCGTGTATCCGGTAGCCCTTATGCTGCTTCCCGGGATCTCGCTGGTGTAGGTATAGTATTGGGTCGTAGGGCAGAACTAGCTCTCCTAGACTGGATCCCTGTAGACAGTCGCTTGTGAGCTATCTGACTGAACGGGACGGTAAGAATTCGGAAAGATAGGGACACCCGTCGTTGCCTCTTCATCGTATCTGCCTATGCCCCTACTGACTGCAGTTCAGACGAGGTGAAAGATGAGTTTTACAGAAAGCTTTCGGACCTCCTCCAAAAAGCTAGGCGCTCTGATATAGTAGTAATGGCTGGTGACTTCAATGCTCAAGTAGGTAGACTGAGTGAAAATGAAAGACACCTAGGTGGATGTTATGGTGTCGCTGTTCAGAGAACAGACAATGGTGACCGTCTGTTGCAACTATGCTCAGATAACCGCCTATTCTTAGCAAACACTAACTTGAGGCATAAGGTAAAGCATCTGTTGACCTGGCGATCTCCAAAGTCGTCTCAACGTTGGACCCAACTAGATCACATCGCCATCAGCCATCGATGGAGGGGTTCGATAGAGGACTGTCGCTCATTCTGGGGCACATGTTTAGATTCAGATCACGCCCTAGTGCGAGCGCGTATTTGTTTGAAGCTTACTGGACGTAGGAAAGGCACCGCGAGGAAACCTCTTAGGGTTCTACTTAATGATAATGAGGCTAAGAATATATTTCAGGAGCAACTAGAAAGAGAGTTAAGCAACCATGTAAGCGAATCCAATCCGGAAGCAGGTTGGTATGATATCAAAAAGGCTGTGGAAACAGCAGCTATATCTTCTAGTAAGGTAAACCATAAGGCTATAATGAATACGTGGGTCTCAGTAGCATCCACCGAACTGATAGAGGCTCGAAAACTCACCCGACCTGGCTCTAAACATGATGAAGAGCGAAGTCAACTTAGGCGCAGGCTGATAAAAAGCCGACGTAGCGACCATGAACAGTGGTGGTTGGCGAAAGCAAAAGCGATGGAAAAGGCAGCGGCGATCGGCAACACTAAACAACTTTTCCGACTTGTCAAGGAAACTGGTATCAAGAACCCGAATGTGAGTGAGACTGTTTCGGAAAACGATGGTCTTATTATCCATTCTCAATCTAAGAGATTGGACCGATGGGCAGGACACTTTGGGGATCAGTTCAACTGGCCTCGAGCCACTTTTCGGTTTCCCACGATCTCCAGTCATCCTGAATGGCAAATCGATTTAAGTCCCCCTAGTCTTTATGAAGTTGAGAAGGCGTTAGGAAATCTGAAGCGAGGGAGAGCTGCAGGTTCTGATAGACTGACCCCTGAGATATTTAAGGATGGTAGTCCAGTTTTATCAGCTAGGTTGACTGAGATCTTAGGTAGAATCTGGGAACTGGACGTAATTCCATCCGACTTATCTCAATCACTGATTGTCCCAATCTATAAGAAAGGACCACCGACTGCCTCGACGAGCTTTGTTTTGTAGTGTACGAGTAGTTTGGAAGAAAGTTAGGGGCGGCCAAACAAAAACATGGCAGAAATCCATGAAATCATCGACGAGTGGACTTAGCCATGTCGGTAATTGTCGACTACCTGGTTGGGGTCCGCGAGATGATAATAATCGATGGTTAGATACCCTGAATGACATGGCTCAAAATCGTTCGCAATGGCGCCGGTGCATTTATTCTCTATGTTCTCTCAAATGCTAATCTTCTGGATTCTTCAACCCCTCTAGTTTTGACTTTCTAAACTTATCTCACTGAATCATACTTCTTGAATAATATCTCCTAATCCTAACCCTTACTACCTCTTCTACTATTGGATTTGAATTGACAATTACATCTCTGTGCTGATGTGGTATGGTGACATGAACTGATGTACTTACGTACGAAGTTCTACGTTGCATCTGACTGACTGACTGACTGATAAGAAAGGACAAAAGTCTTGTGACAATCACAGGGGAATCAGTCTAACTAATATCGTATCTAAAATATTGGCCTCAACCAGGCTGGTTTTCGACCTGGACGTGGTTGTATAGACCACATTTTCACACAGACACATATATAGGCGTCCTACAATAGTTGTCTTCCTGGACCTAAAGGCGGCATTCGACTCAGTGGATCATGAGGTTCTGTGGCAGTGTCTGTCATTGAAAGGTGTACCAAAGAAGTACATCAACCTCATACAAGCTCTCTACTCGAACACCACTGGTCGAGTGAGAGCTTATGGCGAACTGTCACCGGAATTCTTTACTTCAAGTGGTGTCCGTCAGGGATGTCCACTTTCTCCATTCTTGTTTAATTTTATCATAGACATGCTCCTAGACATAACATTATCCTCGTCTGAATTTTCGGGAGTAGACCTTCTACCAGGTGGCTCGCTTATTGACTTACAATATGCCGATGACATTGTCCTACTTGGTGAAGACGCTGACAAAATGCAGAGTCTTCTGACTACCCTAAGCAACAATGCAAGCATGTTCGAGATGCGGTTTTCACCCTCGAAATGCAAAATGTTGCTTCAAGATTGGGTTTCATCGGCACCTGAACTAGTGATAGGGAGTGAAGTAGTCGAACATGTAGACCGCTTCACTTATCTTGGGAGTCTCATCAGTGCTGATGGCCTGATGACTGACGAAATCTCAGCACGGATACAGAAGGCTCGATTGGCTTTTGCCAACCTGCGTCACTTATGGCGCAGGCGAGATATCCGCTTGTTAACCAAAGGACGAGTGTACTGTGCAGCAGTTCGCTCCGTCCTACTATACGGATGCGAAACATGGCCGTTAAGAGTAGAGGACATTCGTAGGTTACTAGTCCTCTATCATCGATGTCTCCGAAGCATTGCTCGTGTATCCTGGGACGACCGAGTAAGCAATGCTATCGTTAGGAAACGAGTTCTAGGTAGGGATGGCAAATCAATAGACGAAGTATTGAAACTTCATCAGTTGAGGTGGTTGGGACATGTGTTACGTATGGCTAACCACGGACTACCGCGACGAGCTATGTTTTGTGGTATAGGAGTAGGTTGGAAGAAAGGTAGGGGCGGCCAAACCAAAACATGACAGAAATCCATGAAGTCACTGACAAATGGACTGAGTCATGTTGGTAGATATAGTCTACCTGGTTGGGTTCCGCGAGACGAAAGTCACCAATGGTTAGAGACCTTGATCGATATGGCTCAGATTCGTTTGCAATGACGCAGGTGCATTCACTCTTTGTGTTCTTTCTAATTCTAACCTTCTGAATTCCTCTTAATCTCTCTCTTTATCCTTCTAAATTTATCTCACTGAAATTTTACCCTAATCTTCTCCATAGCTGCTAATACTTCTACTATCGCTACCACTATGTGGTTTGAAATGACAGTTGTGTGTTTATGCTAATGCTGTATGGCAACCTGAACGGATGTACTTACGTATGAAGTTCTATGTTGTATCTGTCTGTCTATTATTCAACATTATATTGTTCAGTGTGATTATTTCAACCATTAGCAGGTTATCATTCATTAGTTGATTATCGCTGCTATTATTAACTGTACTCATATTATTTATTTAACAACAGTAATATACTAACTGTGTTGTATTGTAATTAAAATATGTTAACTAATTTACTTATTTTTATTATTAACATTATCACATTTTGTAGCCAATAATATATCACAATTAAATGTCATTTCCACACCATTACCTTCTTCAATATTCTATGAACCGTGGCATTCTATATGGAAATTTATTAAAATGAATCCAAGTAAGTGGAATTATTGAATAAATGAATTCATAGTATTATATATGTTTAAGAAAACTAAGTTCACATCAAGTATGTTACAAGCGTGTAATATGATTAATTAATGATGATATTTTGTTGTCTAACATAAAATAATGAACTGATCCTAGTAATTGAATTACAACCAAATAGGTTGTATTTTGGGGCACAGTTTTGGAGGTTTGCGTTTTTACACATTTGAAATCATCAATCAGTCATTGTTACTAGACCAACATTAGAAACCTGGAAACGGCCGTCCAGTGCTTCCAGGTTTCTAATGGTGGTCTAACAATGATTGATTGATGATTTCAAATGTGTAAAAATAGGTTGTAGCTTTCAAGATTGTTCCATGTGTTTCAGTCTCATCAATCGGTTAGTATCATTAGTCTTCCCAAAAGAACTATGTACACTTACAACAAGCTGAGAGTAATTAGAAACCGATTTGAAATAAAAATTAACTGAATTATGAAATATGATCAATATTGTTTCGATATAATATTTACATTTTTATGTTTGTCTCTGAAATGATTATATATAGGATAAATGTGAATTGAACTATCACTTTCAAGTTTATTTGTGTGTACATTCTACATTCGAAATTGTATGCTGCGCACCAAGATGAAATTCTTACTTAACCAAAAAAAACAATCATGATATGTATATTTCTACAAATTTATTTTGCGTATTGTATTTGTATAGCATGTTTCATACATGTCTATGCTCGAACAATCTGATTAACCTATTTTTAATCAATCAATGCTAGCGTACAGAATGGAGTGGGCTCTAGAATTTTTTTGTATATAAATCAGAAATAAACTAAGCCGTTTGTTACAACAATTCACTCTCATTCAAGTTGGTTTGTTTTAGAGCATAATGATGCGTGTCATGTTCAAGCTGTGTTCTAATTTTTGAGGATCAGTCTGTAGTAGCATAGAGTACTAATGTAGTGAAGGAGAACACAGGTGAGGGCAACCGAATTGTATTTGACGAAAATTACAGAGTTACTGAGTAAAATAGGAAAACTATATCGTAAACGGTTAATCTGCAAATCTTCAATCCATCATCAATCCATTATCTGACATTTCACTATTCATGCGTTTCACACAAATCCTATTGTGTTCCCACTCTTTCTTTCTTGATCTTCCCTCATCTTCTGCTGCCAGACATTACGTTTACACTCGCGTCATATACTACTTATAAGTATCGCGCTCCACAAGTCTAGCAGAGTAGCATCTGTAGAGTATTAGATAATAGAAGAAACTAAATTGAATAAGGAATATTCTAAAAAAATATTACTGAAAGATTCTATCAACCTTCTGCTATTCAGTCATTGTATGAACATGAAAGATGCAATGAATTGTTTAAATACTAGTTGACATCATACTAATTAGGATTGTTCGGATGAGATCCATTGATGTAGCTGCCATATTTAACCGAATAAATTCTTCAGATTATTATTGTAGTCCTAATTGTTTGTTTTCAGTCTCTTTTTATTGGATTTCCATGATTCATGTACTAATCTTTATTACATTGTGATGTTGATATAATAAATTTAGTTAATTTCTCAGATCATCAGATTTTTAATTGTAGCGATAAGAAATGTTGATTGTTTTATTGGGATTATACTGCACACACTTAGATAACGTTGAGTATTTATGATTAAAATATTTATAACTAACATGTATGTATTCATTTAATTTCGAGCTTTGTTTTGTAGTGTAGGAGTAGATTGTAAGAAAGTTAGGGGCGGCCAAACCAAAACATGGCGGAAATCCATGAAGTCACTGACAAGTGGACTGAGTCATGTCGGTAATTGTCGACTACCTGGTTGGGGTCCGCGAGATGATAATAATCGATGGTTAGAGACCTTGAATGACATGGCTCAAAATCGTTCGCAATGGCGCCGGTGCATTTGTTCTTTGTGTTCTCTCAAATCCTAATCTTCTGGATTCTTCAACCCCTCTAGTTTTGACTTTCTAAACTTTTTTCACTGAATCATATTTCTTGAATAATATCTTCTAATCCTAACCTCTCCGATTACTTCTAATACCCTTACTAACTCTTCTACTATTGGATTTGAATTGACAATTATATCTCTGTGCTGATGTGGTATGGCGACATGAACTGATGTACTTACGTACGAAGTTCTACGTTGCAACTGACTGACTGACTGACTATTCATTTAATTTAAAAAAACAGATAGCACTTTAGTGACAATTGAAGTGAATATTTACATAATTTATTTGGTACATGTAACCTATTTACCAAGTACAAATTTCTACGTACTCAGTTTTGAGTTAAACTTTCGTTGCCTAGAGGTGGATGATGCTAAGCTACTGTCTAAACCAAAATATATAGAGCAGGGTTTGAACCCCCAATCTATCATTGATTAAAGGCTTGTTCCATTGATCACTAAATAATCTATCCTGTATGTAGCCAATGTATTGTTCAGTTTTATACTTTTTATAGTTTTTTTATTCAGCTTCCTTGTATAGTTGTCACTTAACTTATATTCCAATAGATGTAAGATGATAAGGTATGAGCCATATTTGTTTTATTTCATTTTCATTGGCTATTTGTATATCTGATTCAAATCAATCAATAGTCAATAAATTTGAATTACTCCGTAAATGCCATTATCTATTTGTCTCATAGCCGACATGGCCAAAATTTATTAGTCATGGCCATTCAGTAGTATTCCAGTAACCACCATTCAAAGTAAGTCATTAGTAAGTTAATAATGATTCCTTAAGATTGGGGTCTGTTGTATGTGCGTATTTCTGAGCAGTCCCATACTAGGATAATAAAGTTGTCTGGTGCGTTTTAGGTTCGAGCGTAAATTTTATTCAAGAGAGCATTTTAAGCGGCTGAAATAACTTGGAATTGTCTGCTATGTGCATATAAGTATTATCATAAAATAATCCACAAACATTATTCTACCATTGGACGTAAAAACATAAGTTTTCACACTTTTCACATGTTTCGCATACTTCACAGCTCAGATCCCTTACTAACGACCAATTCAAGTCCCTCGTATTCATATACAGTCTTCAATTACCCAAATTCCCCAACATCAGAACTCGGTTTTTAAACCATCTTGAACATGACCTAACACTGACACTCAGTGCGACCACCGACGAGTACCAACACATTATCAACTTACAGCGTGACACTACTTTGGTCCAATCTTGGGGCCAGGGTGGTTCCGAAGTTCACGCTGTTCGGCATCAGAACAAATCTTCGAGATCAACAAGCTTTGGTCCTTCGAACGCCAGTGCTGTTCCTGCCGCTAATCACTCCACACTGGCCCAGAAGTAGCCCCCCTCGTTGATTGTCAACAACTCTCTCGGTTTGTAAACAACAGGTATTTCAAGGTAAGCATTCTCTAGATCCAGCTTAGCAAAGTAAGTACCACCATTTAAGATAGTAAATGAGTCAGCTGGGATCAGCAGCGGATAGTGAAGCTGTTGTAGTACCGCGTTGAGTCCTGTGGAGAAGTCTGCACAGATGTGTATGGAACTATTGGACTTCTCTACAACCACATTTGGTGCAGTCCATGATAAATAAGAGACAGATACAAGAACACCCTCAGTTGCGAAACGTTGAAGTTCAGCGTCAGCCAGAGATAGAGACGCGTATGGGACTGGATGTTTTGGACGAAAAATGGCGTACCTTCTGGCTGCAGTCTTAAAACAGCTTCCATTGTGGAACAAAGTCTGAGGCCAGGCTGAAAGAGTTCAATGGATCGTTTTTGGAGGTATGCAGTATGCTGCTGTGTAGTGGCAGTGATTTGTACTTGATTGCAGATAGTGCTGATGGGAAGGTCGGCGAGACCAAGTTCTTCGAACCAATCTAAACCCAGAAGGTTGATAGTAGACTTGGTGATGTAGCACGTTCCATTGAAGGTTGAACCTCTGAACGAGATGCAGCAGTCGAGTTCACCATGAAGGTGCAGATGACCCCACAAACATTGACAGCGGTCTGCGAGGATGGTTTGACCGGAGGCTCGCCAAGCCTTATCCAACAGAATGGTGATATCCGATGCAGTATCCAACTGCAACCGAACTGGTTGACCATTGATTGAGAGAGTCAGAAATTTGCGTCGAGTAGAGCCATGATTGTGGAAGACTGCTGCTAAACTCCTTGATGAGGCAACTGGCTTTTTGGGAAAACGACGCTGCATCTGTGAATTTCGACGGCTATTGAATTGGGCTGATTGGCAAAAACCGTTCTTGTGACCAACTTTCTGATAGTGGTCGCACACATGCTGTTTGAATGGACAGAACTTCACATAATGCCAGAGTCCACAGTGCCAACATGGCGAGGGGAGCTTCTTCTGAGCCAGTGTGGAATGATTAGCTGCAGGAACAGCACTGGCGTTCGAAGGATCAAAGGTTGTTGATCTCGAAGATTTGTTCTGATGCCCCAAGATTGGACCAAAGTAGTGTCACGCTGTAAGTTGATAATGTGTTGGTACTCGTCGGTGGTCGCATTGATTGTCAGTGTTGGGTCTTGTTCAAGACGGTTTAACAACCGAGTTCTAATGTCGGGGAGCTTGGGTGATTGAAGACTGTATATGAATACGAGGGACTTGAACTGGTCGTTAGTAAGGCATCTGAGCTTGAACCGTTCTCACTCACAGTTGACAATGCCGACATAGGTCAAGAAGTCGTCGGACTCATTCATGACCAGTTTCAAGCAGCGATAGCGAGTATTGAAAAGTGAGTGATGATCACCAAAAAGTTGACTGAGGGATCGAATAGTGGAATCGAAGGAACGGTCCCGTGGGTTCTGCGGTAGAATGAGGCTGTAATACTTGTCCAGCTCTAACGGACCAAGTTTTCGAAGGAGAAAGCGCACCTTCCAAGTATCATCTCTGTCAGAAAGGTCAACTTTGAAAAGGTCTTCATGACGCCTGAACCAGGTATCAAGTATAATATTGGCGTCAGGATCATAAAGAAACTCTGAAATACCACTGATAATAACATCGACTGATTGAAGGATTGCCGGTGTAGATGGGACTTGAGAGTAGGTGTTCGCCTGAGTAAGCATCTCCATGAGCTTCAGCTGTTGTTCGAACAATTTTGCTAATTTTACTGGATCCATAGTTGGTTACCAACTCATCCGCCAAATCCCCATCGCTGAATATTGTAGTACGCGATGTGGCTACTCGAAATTCTACCGATTGGCCAACCTCAGATATTCCACCAGTACGATCGAAAATTCTGTTTCCTGAATCCCCAATATATCAAAACACAAAACCGTCAGATGAAGATTGTTTACGGGGTCAGAGTACAACCTAGAACTTCACAGACAATGCATGTTTATACAGTTAGGACGACCGTAAATATTGGGCAATAGGAGACAAGGTGTGAAGTATGTGAAACATGTGAAAAGTGTGAAAACTCATGATTTTACGTTTGATGATTTATTTAGACTTAACAGAATATTTTAATGAATATGCTATCAGTACATGTCAATGTTTATTAGCTATTATGGTTAATAGAAGTATGATGGGATAACTCATATATTCCTATTTCATAGGTGAATATCTTTGAAACTTATAAAATGATGTCACTATATCGTTATTTAAAAGAAATTAGCTAACTATTCCAGACAGTGAGAGATATATAGAACAACATTCAAATGCACAAGCGTTTGCTCATAAAAAACATAGTGATATATGTTTATGCTGATAACTTACATTTTTACTGCTTATTGTTTTATATTATACACTTTTCAATTATTGTATTTTAGTCTGTGGATTAAACGGCAAAGCTTTACCATCGAAATCTATATTATTTATGGATCTCAAATATATTCCACCAATTCATCCTCTCTCAAAGACTGATGATACAAATCTTTCCTCTTCTAATGATTTGGATTTCTGCTATGAAGCTCTATTGTTTATGACACAAGCTTATGAGATTGTTGTTCAGGTGATATTATATAAAGATTCAAAAACAGAGTAAGATGATTACATTTTTCTTCGCTTTCTTATATCTCAAGTAGTTTCGAACGGTATGTTTTGTAGGAACTCTATGAAGTAGGAAGTATTCATGTTTTTTTTATACTACGATTTAAATGTAAATGTAATTATTTCTCGTCTTGTTGGTACATGTAGGCTACCTGGTTGGGGTCCGTGAGACGAAAGTCACCAGTGGTTAGAGACCTTGAACGATATGGCTCAAAATCGTTTGCAGTAGCGCAGGTGTACATCCACTGTTTGTGTTCTCTCAAATTCTAACCTTCTGAATTCCTCATTATCTCTATCTTTCTCTTTCTAAATTTATCTCACTGAATTATACTTCTCGAATCATATCTTCGAACCCTTACTTAATTACAACCTTTACCCCCAATGGAGCATAGGCCGCCCACCAGTTTTCTCCAACCAACTCTGTCCTGGGCTTCCCTTTCCAGTTCTGTCCAATGTTTGTCCATTCCTCTCATATCTTTCTCTATTTCTCGACGTAATGTGTTCCTTGGCCTTCCTCTTTTCCTTTTGTCTTGAGGGTTCCATGTGAGGGCTTGTCTCGTGACGCAGTTAGGTGTTTTTCGTAGTGTGTGTCCTATCCACTTCCACCACTTCTTCCTGATTTCCTCCTCCACTGGAATCTGGTTTGTTCTCTCCCACAGTAGGTTGTTGCTGATGGTGTCTGGCCAACGAATCCGAAGTATTTTGAGTAGACAACTGTTAACGAACACTTGTATCTTCTGGATGATGGCTTTCGTAATTCTCGAAGTTTCCGCTCCATACAGTAGAACTGTCTTGACATTTGTATTGAAAATCCTTATTTTGGTTTTGGTTGAAAGTTGTTTGGAGTTCCAGATATTTTTCAACTGTAGAAATGCAGCCCTTGCTTTACCAATCCACGCCCTCACATCTGCATCGGATCCACCTTGATTGTCGATGATGTTGCCCAGATATGTAAAGGTGTTAACGTCCTCCAAGGCATCTCCATCAAGAGTGATTTGGTTGGTGCATGTTGTGTTGCATCGTAGAATTTTGCTTTTTCCTTTATGTATGTTGAGACCTACTGCTGCAGAGGCTGCTGCTACACTCGTCGTCTTCTCTTGCATTTGTTGTTGCGTGTGCGATAGAAGAGCCAGGTCATCTGCGAAGTCCAGATCGTCCAGCTACGTCCTGACTATCCAGTTGATACCGTGCTTCCCTCCAGATGTCAACGTCTTCATAATCCAGTTGATGACCAGAAGAAAGAGAAAGGGTGAGAGTAAGCAACCCTAATCTTCTCCAGTACTTCTAATACTTCTACTATCGCTATCACTATATTGTTTGAACTGACGGTTGCCACTTGTGCCAATTCTATATGGCAACCTGAACTGATGTACTTACGTACGAATTTCTGCGTTGTATCTCTCTGTCTGTCTGTCTATCTTTATCGTCTATTTCTTTAATTAGATCATCATTATTTAGACATGTGCAATTCACTTGTATTGGTCACTTGAATTTTTCTCACTAACATTCAAGGCCTTGAATAGATCAGTTTCTTCAATGTATGTATATTCAGTATTGTCTGTTTGTTTATTTGTATGATGATTATTTCATACAGTTGTCGTGTATATAATGATGATTATCATCATCAGGTCAAGCACACCTTTAGTTGATGTTGTGTTTTTTTTTTATCAATACCGTTAGAGAGGTAAATCTATTCACAGTCAAATTATTGATCATGTGAAATAATTGTCTACATAATTCCACGTGTGGTGTCCATAACTGTAAATCAAATGTCAGAAAATTAGATAAATGGAGAGATAACGATACACAATTAGGTTAAAGTGAAAATACCACAATTCAACTATTTGGGAAACGCCTATTAAAAATATGAAACTGGCTTCTTCACATTTCATAGTTTTTTTTTTTTTGGTTTCTTCTTTAACAGTCATAAAATCAATAAACCAGTAACACCGATATGCCATAAACCTTGTGTACACATTCTTAGAAAAAATTAAGACTAAAGATATTAGTTGCTTATCTATACTGGAAAAATTTTGATTAAGATTTTGAGGCTTGGATTCACCAGTGTTAATTGTTGAAAACTAAATCAATTCTCAATGCTATACCTTCAATTAAAAAATCCTTTTCATTTATGCTAAATCAGCTTGTCTGTGGTATGGCGTTAGAATAGTGAAATAGGAATTTTTTGTACGCTATCTTGTAATTGTTCTTACTTTGTTATCATTGTCGAATGTCAAGTTCTTTAAGTAATCATTCCCTAGTGTAACTTAAATGCAACTCCGTGAATTGATTGAAGTTAGACATTAACACCGGTAGATACCGACTCAGTAGTCCAGAGTTTAGGCGTTCGCGCGCAATATCGAAGGCAAGGGGTTCGAATCCTGCGAGGTGCGGGAGTCGTGGACGCGCACTGCTGATGAGTCCTATACAAGGATGAAACGGCCTTCCAGTCGTCCCAGGTTTCTAATGGTGGTCTAACATTGATCAATTCATGATTTCAAATACAGTATATATGTATTCAAAACAATTAAAATTGATCCCATAATTAATTGCGATTGAAATATTAAAAGTCTCAAGTCGACCGTGAGGATCAAAATGAAAACTCACCGATTTTCAAGTTTTTTTTTTTGGGGGGGGGGGGGTTCATCAACCGATGATAGACAGAGAGATACAACGCAGAACTTCGTACGTAAGTACATAAGTTCAGGTTACCATGCACAATCAGCATAGAGATGCAACTGTCAGTTCAAATCCAAGACTGATAGCAATAATAGAAGTATTAGCAGTAATGGAGAAGATTAGGGAGCGAAGATATGACTCGAGAAGTATAATTCAGTGAGATAAATTTAGAAGGAGAAAGATAGAGATGATGAGGAATTCAGAAGGTCAGAATTAGAAAGAACACAAAGAGTGAATGCACCTGCGTCATTGCAAACGATTCTGAGTCATATCGAGGTCTCTAACCATTGGTGACTATCGTCTCGCGGACTCCAACCAGGTATCCTACATCTACCAACATGACTTAGTCCACTTGTCAGTGACTTCATGGTTTTCTGCCATGTTTTGGTTTGGCCGCCTCTAGCTTTCTTCCAACCTACTCCTACACCACAAAACATAGTTCGCCGTGGCAGTCGGTGATTAGGCTTACGTATTACATGTCCCAACCACCTCAACTGATGAAGTTTCATTACTTCATCTATTGATTTGCCATATCTATCTAGAACTCGTTTCCTAACGACAGCATTGCTTATATGGTTATCCCATGATACACGAGCAATGCTTCGGAGACATTGATGATCGAAGACTAGTAAACCACGAATGTCCTCTACTCTTAAAGGCCATGTTTCGCATCCGTATAGTAGGACAGAGCGAACTGCTGCACAGTACACTCGTCCTTTGATTAGAGAACGGATATCTCGCCCACGCCATAAGTGACGTAGGTCGGCAAAAGCCAATCAAGCCTTCTGTATCCGAGCTGAGATTTTAGTCAGTCACCAGGCCATCATCACTGGTGAAACTCCCCAGATAAGTGAAGCGGTCTACACGTTCGACTACTTCACTCCCTATCACCAGTTCAGGTGCCGATGAAACCCAATCTTGAAGCAACTCATCAACCGATGAAATGGTAATTAATGATTCACAAAATTGAGATTGGAGATGAGTATGGATCAGGATATTACGTCGTAGATGATTGACCTTGTAAGTGTGTATTGATCAATGTAATCAACAAAAAATAATAATAATAATAAGTCTCAATTTTTTTCATCACTTACACGTTTAATTGAATTTCTCGGTGCACCTGTTTTTTAAATTCGTATTATTGTTTTGTTATTATTAGAAATGGCAAGTTCATGTGTAGTTGTGATCCATACTTGAATTTACCTAGTCATTTTGATATCAATGAATTGACATCAATGGTGGACTTTGTGAAACAACATATTTGGTCATCCATACACAAACAATATGCAATTGATGACTGAATTTCTGTATAATACATATCTGAAAAGATTTTATATTCTGTTTCTCAAATGTTACTATTGTACAGATTACCTGTATTATTTTATTTTTACTGAGATAATTGATTTATATTTCAATGTTCTCTTAACGAATAAACATGTATATAATATTAGGATTATGAACTTTATTGCTGTCTAATAGACAATCATACAGACGACATTTACAAAGTGAAATGATCCTTATTCAGATTTTTGAACTGTAGTCTTAGTTTTGTTATCTGTTGAAATATCCTAACTATCAAAAATAGACAAAACTTTTTTTGGGGTGTTTTTGTGACGTTAATCAATCGATTTTATCGGTTTTAGAGGTCTAACATGTTAATAGCATGAGTTGTATACTAGTTTTTGAACATCTAGATTCTAGTTCTGTTTGCGGACTGGTGGATGAGCATAGCAGTCAGTCAGTCAGTTGCAACGTAGAACTTCGTACGTATGTAAGTTCATGTTGCCATACCACATTAGCACAGAGACACAAATGTCAAATCAAATCCCATGGTGAAAAAGATAGTAGAGGTATTAATAGTTATGAAGAAGACTAGGGTTTGAAGATATTATTCAAGAAGTATAATTCAGTGAGATAAGGTTAGAAAAACAGAAGTAGAGGTGCTGACGAATCCAAAAGATTGGGATTTGAGAGAGCTCAACGAATGAATGCACTTGCGCCATTGCAAACTATTTTGAGCCATGTCGTTCAAGGTCTCGAACCATTGGTGACTATCGTCTCGCGGACCCCAACCAGGTAGTCTACATCTACCAACATGACTCAGTCCACTAGTCAGTGATTTCATGGATTTCTGCCATGTTTTGGTTTGGCCGCCCCTAGCTAGAAATAGTTGGTTATCTGAGCATACTTGCAACAGACGGTCGCCATTGTCTGTTCTTTGAGCCGCGAAACCATAACATCCACCTAGGTGCCTTTCATTTTCACTTAGTCTACCTACTTGAGCATTGAAGTCACCAGCCATTATAACTATATCAGAGCGCTTATGAAAGCTTGTTAGTTGAGGCAACTTTTTCTGCTAAAAGCGTTGATTGTTAATTTGAAATCACCGAATAAGATTCAACTAAAGGTAAGTAAGTGTTTCACATTATTTTGGCGCTACTACCTGGACTTCAATTCACTATCAAGCTTTTGGGACTGAGCATTACAAAAAACCTCATTTCATGATCCTGTATATAAATGGGGCATATTAAGAATGAGTTCGAACTTCCAGAAGATTTCTGTCCAAACGTTAGTGGACCAGTGGTGAGACATAACTTAGATCACTGGAAGTTGATTCTTTTTTTTCGATTAGGTGAGTATTAAACAAAATAACAAAAATTTGCACTAAGTTATTTTGATGATGCACTTGTTGCAGAGCATCAAAATGTAAGGCGCTCTCTTGATCAAGCTTTAACTGTACTATAAAGACGAGCCGCGAAGAAAACAAGCATTTTTGTTTGTGACTAAAGGGGGTTCGAAATCAAATATTCCCTATATCTAACTCCTAAACGTTAGTGATTGGCAGGCGGTGAGGTTATGGCTTGACATTGCAGAGTAAGGGCATGGTTGAAACGCTAGGCCTACATAACCTATCATCTATTGGGATAGGAAACAGCTTTGGAACTCAACGTCTACTTGTTACATTGACACACCGACAGAAAAACACTGTTTCCTTAGATATATAGTGAGGACTAGTATGTCTGTTGTGATTTATCAATTTTGTGTTACAGAAAAAGATTGAGGATTCTAGGCCTGATAGAATATAGTGTCTGGTTTCTGGATACCAACAGCTATCACATTACCATGCCGGAGATCAGTTACTTGCAATATAGAGAGTAATAAATAGAAAATTCTGATGCTAATAAGATTTCAGAACTAAGTTAATAGATAGATAATTTAGTTTACTAATTGGTAGCAAGGAATGTGCGAGATGACTAAAGTTTAAGTAAGATAAACATCAGGTACAGCTTGTCCATGACGGACACGATAATCCGAATGTGAGTACGTGTTTTTCAAGTCTTCTTAAAGCTGTCCACTGAAGGGGCTGTGGTCACCTCGGCTGGGAGAGCATTGCAAGTTACGACGACTCTTATTGAGAGAGTGTGCACGAACCTGAGTATTCGCTCTCTGATGCCCAATTTTTCAAGGATTACATCGAGGAGAGTGGTGGTAATGCGTCGGTAAGATGCTCACATTCGGATGGTTTGGTGTGCTCAATATATTGTACCTCTGATTCTCCTGTAACTCAGGGAGAATAATCCTGAATGCTGGAGTCTATCTTCGTAAGTTTTATTTTCTAACGCCATCGCCCATTTCGCTGCTCGTCTCAGCACTCGATCCAAGAGATTTATGTCTTTTAAGGAGAGGGGCTACGACGACGTTGTGAACCCCAAGTTGTGGGGGTGCATATTTCTTAAGAATAATTCTGGAGTGATGACTCTAAGCTGTCTTCGCACAAAGTGAAGAGCTGCATTAGCCTTGGCTGCGTTCCCCATTCAGTTCGAACTGGTGTGGAGGCTTTCAGTGGTTAACAAACCGAGATCGCTCTCTGAGGAGACAGTAAGGACGGACTTACGTTAGGGGGGTAAATCGTTTGCTTCATGTGGGGCAGAATGCACATGCCGTGGCATTTCGAATGATTTAGTTATAAATCGTTTTTCACTGCTCAGTCGAACCCTCTTCGCTTCTAATAGACCTCCAAATCTTTGCATCATCTGTATAGATTAATGCTGGCGTGCTTAAGGTGTCTAACATGTCGTTAATGAATATCAGGAAGAGAGGTGGACCTAAGATGGTCGACTGTGAAACTCCCAATGTGGATACTTGCCAGCTCGCGTGCACTCTATTTATCTTGATATGAAACTTTCTATTCTCAAGGTAGTCTCTAAGCTAAGATAGAGGTGGGTCAGTGAAGCCCATTTCCGCAACCTTCACGATTAGGCGTGCGTGGAGTGTTCTGTTGAAGGCTTTCTCAAAGTCAAGAATTATTATGTCCCAAAGCGGTGTCCAACTGTCCCATGCCATAAGAAGATTGGATGCGCACGACCTGCCCTTCTGAAAATCGTGTTGAGCTTCATGGAGTATTTTATTCTTATCCATGTACTCCATCATTTGTTCGTTCAACACCCCTTCCATTATCTTTGATATTATTGGTAGTGATGCGACTGGTCTGTAATAGGCCTGGTCCTTCCTATCTACTCCTTTGAAAATGGGAGAGAGAGTAGCCTGTATCCATTCGGTTGGCTGTTGGTGTGAATCCAGTGAATGCCAGAACAGGTCACACATCGGTGAACGGAGGGCTTCTGCACATTCTTTCAAAATTATGTGACGAATATTGTCACAACCTGGTGACTTTCCTGGATGTAAGGATTTCGGTTTACTTAGAACTAAGTCGGGAGTAGTACGGATATTCCCTCGGCCATCAGCTGGCCCTAGGTTTGTGTAGTATTCTGAACATGTGCGTACGTTGCTTAACCGATCGGTGAAGTTTGTGGTGAGGATCTCAGCCACCTCTAGGTTGGTGAGGTCATTTCCATTCGGATCATTGAGGGGATACAAACACTGATTCGTAAATTTTCTTTTAGTCATGAACCTAAACAGATGCTCCGGGTATGCCTGTATTTTGGCCGCTAGGTTGATCTGAAATTGTCACCTATCACTTCGAAAGTTGATGCTGCATCTGTTTCTCAATGCCAAGTAAGAATTACGATCAGAAGGAGACCTTCCCTTTGTGCCAGGTTCTACTTTTTGCCTGTAGCAAGCGTTTAGTGCCGCACCTAACCCGTGCTCTTCTATTTCCGGTGTGTGGTGTGACTGAGGTACATTGCAACTGACAGTATTCTGAATGATGTCTCTCACTGATGCCAGGGATCATCTACTGTCAGCCTTCATTGATCCTATGTTAATGGGGCATGTAGAAGAATCTCTCTCATATGCGTATGATTTGCCGAAGTGTAGCAAAGATAGGGCTCGTATTCGTCCTGTATGAGTTTTTCTTTTATGACCATGTTAGGGAAGATTTTGCCATGGTCAGCACTATCTACTGGTTTATGTATGTGGACACCCTCGACCAGGAGCTGGTCATTGGTTAACAAATAATCCAAAGTTCGAGGATTTTACATCCTTCGACAATCTATTGGCAGTGAATACATGTTCAGTAAGCCCATTGTTTCTAATGTCCGCGCCATGTCGTCTTTGGAACCAACCAGTGAGAGTTGCACTCTGATTGCTGAGATTTAGAGATGGAGTGTTGAAATCGCCAGTCTAGAGTATTTGTCCAAACCTAAGGAGTAGCAGTTACACTACTGCCTTAAACAGTTTGTCTTTCTGGGACATAGCACCTGAGGGAGGCCAGTAAATCCCTCCAATCAAGTATTTCGTGCCATTTTTGTGGGAACTACACCAACGTGATTCTGTCACCTCAGTTAGTTGGTAGTCATGTAAACTCTAGGCTTCTAAATGGCTGTTTATATATAGCCATTCCGCCTTCTGCCTCGTGTATCCTATCGCTTTTTAAAAATGTCGTGCCTTGAAAGGTCACTTCGTCGTCCGCAATGTCAAGGGATAGCGATGTTTCAGTTAGGATTATGATCTTCAGATCCATCTGAGAGCACATATTCCTGATTTCTAACAACTTGCCCATCAGTCCGCTAACGTTAATATAGAGGCGATTGGTTTTTTGTCTCATCATCTTGTGTACCTCTTCATCAACAGCCGTTCTCGGATTTGCCAACAAGTTGTCCAAACCGAGTTGGCCAGTTCTGTGGCAACTGGCCTCTGCAGGTTTTTCGCCTGTGCGTTCAACACTATTATCTTCGTGCCTTGTGACGAGAGTTGTTGATCAAGGTCAATTGTCAATTTTGTACATTTATTTTGGCCTCCCTGCTGTTGTCTCACAGATCTAGATCGGATTTCGCAACACATGATGTGTCTAGAGCTATACCAAGCCTGAAACATCTCAGTTAAGTCTTCCCGAATCATAAACTCCTTAGCCATCAGATGTGATGAACAAACGGATGTAAAGTCTGACGGGCGAGACAGCCTAGGAATGCAAATTGCCATCGTGGTGTGAAGGCCTAGGCTACGTGTCAGCCATCGCCATTGTTGCACATAGTGCACATGAGCTTCGTCCAAGCTACCACCAGCCAGTTCGGGTAGGTCGTGAACTACCATAGTGGTCTGCTCTTGGGTGCGGGATTAGAGGAGGATGCTTTCGGCAAGTTGTGCTGAGTCTAGTGTTACCCTCATTGAAGGAGGTTTCCCTCCCGATACAGCATATTTTTTCCAAGGTGTT